CCCCCCCCCCCCCCCCCCCCGAGAAAGCAACGCCACTTCGACCACCAGAGATGAATAAAACGGCGTGCATGGCCCATCTAGAAAACACCTCCAGAGAATCCCCAAAAAGCTTGACCGGGATGAAAACCAAAAACCATAAACAGCGACATAGTATAGGGTATTGCACAAGGTCTACAATCGTATCTCTACCGGTGAAAAAAAACCCGGGAAATCAACCAACAAAACAGATTCTCCCGACCAGAAAAAAAAGACAGAAACACCAAAGTCCTACCCAGATTGACAGAAAAAGATGATCGGGGTAGTTGAGTCGGTTCATTAGTGCGCACGAGGGCGAAAGCAAAAGACACTTTCCCGAAAGTGTAGATGGAAAAAAGAAGTTTGCTTGCAGGATATCCGCCGTCATGAGGGGGGTATGAGAGAGACCGACCCAAGATCCTGTCCTGTAGAACAGCTCCCGCGATTGAGATTAAAAGTCGAGGTGACAGAAGAGACGAAAGAGTCGTTCACAGACTCATCGTCAGCCACTCCCACTCCTGAGGCCCCGTCCCGGCACCGCCCGGCGCCACGGGAGAGCTCGCTGGGACACTCGACATGCCGACAATAGAAGGCCCCATCGTCGGACGAGGCGCCATACCGAAAGTCTGTGCCAGCGTCAGGTTGCTCGAACTGTTGATACCACCGCCTAGGCTAAGAGTGGACCCGAGAGGCCGCGAAGCCTCGTTAGATCCGGTAGAGTCCGGACTGTCAATGTCCATGCTCCCCATGGTCTCAGCAATGGTAGTCCCCTTGCTGTGACGGCGCTGGCGCTTCGACGCCATGGCCACCGACCTCGAGAGCGAAGCGGCCCCGGGGCCAGGGGTGTTCTTTGGTGGCGCTGCGGCGATGGGCACCACGCCCTTACCGCCAACAGCTCCAGACGACGACCCCACACTGCCCTGGTAGCTCGTGGGTGTGCTGCCGGTGGTGTTCGCGCCAGAGGTAGGGCCACTGACGGGACTTTCTCCCTCCGGTACGCTCCCCCCGCGACTCTGCGGTGGTGGTTGCGACGGCGGAGTAGTCGTTGTCGAGTTGCTGCTGGTGTTGTTTGTCGAGGCCATGGCAAGCGTCGAGTTCTTTCGAGAGGCCACCCCAGAGGCGGTTCCGCTCTTCTTGACGCGGGTGCTGGATCCGCTGACAGACAAGCTCGAACCAGAGCCACGGTTGCGCTTCTTGATGACGTCGGTCTTCAGACTGAGAGGACGAACGACACCGTGGAGTTTTAGGAAGAGTCCACAGGCGTTGCAGAGCGGCTGCCCATCCGGGTTCCGGCGCCAGAGCGGCGTAGTCTGGGTGAAGCAGTTGGTGCAGGTCGTAGGCGCACTGCTCTCGCCATTGTTGCCAGCAGCACCTTGCAGGTTTGTCGACGAGCCGTTCTTCGATCCTGGAGGGGGCGTCGAGGGGCGGCTGTGAGCAACCGACGACAGGCCCGATACGATACCTGAGGGCTCAGCTCCAGGGGAGTTGGGGTTAGACGGGGCCGTGTGGTCATAAGAGCCAGCTTGGTTGACAGACGGCGTCGAGGCCGTCCGGGGGATCTTCTGACGCCGATCTGATCGACTCAGCGACTGCGATTGGGATCGTGACAGATTGCCCCCTTGCCATTCGCCGTTGGCATCTACATAATCGGTTGTCGTCCCTCCGATGGTGACTTGCTTGCGCGGCGGGCCGCCGGGGTAGCGCGCGGCCTGGGTACTGAACTGCCCCGGCAGGGAAGCGTCCCAGCCCAGGTTGTTGACGTCCAGCGGTGTGTCTTCCATCTGGGCGGGAGAGAAGTCATGTTGCATGCCCATGTTGCGGTCGGCAAATGCACCATTGTCCTCGTCCTCCCCGTCCGAGTCGGCGCCGAAGGAGAACATGTTCTCCTGCATCATGCCACCGACTCCCGGTGACCGGGTGTTCTGCTCTGGCTGGAAGACTTGCGAAGGGTCGATGTGGCCGAATGAATTACTTGCCGGGAAGGCAGAGATGGAATCACCGCCAGCGGTAGACGCGGGAAACATCGAGTTCCCGTTGGTGTTGTACACGAACTGGCCGTTCATGGCATTCCCCATGTTCTGGGGGCTGCGGAAGTTCTGCGGCCTTGTCTGGCGCATGTCTGCGGAGCCGAAGAAGAAACTGCTGTCTGCCTCGTTGACTGGATGGGGGGTAGACACTCCAGATTGGTAGCCCGATCCGGGAGGGGAGAAGTATTCTGCCGTGGTCGGCAAAGACGATGGCTGCATCGAGTTGAACATGTTGGAGAAGGGACCATGCTGGATCATGGGCGAAGTGGAAGGCGAGAAAGAGAAATGCTGCTGGAAAGGCCCAGCCGACGTGATCATCGAGCCATTCTCCATGGAATAGGCACCGAGGGGGAATGAAGCACCCGAGTGATCCAACGGCTGCGACAGACCGCCTTGGGTAGTCTGATCCAGAGAATATTCATGGAGATCTGCGTCAGGGCCCAGCTCGTTAGCCAACAAGTTGGTATTGACAGCAGGAACATGAGGAGAGAAGTCTGCAGGGCGCTTGCGTGTTGTCTATAACAGAGGATAGTCAGTACAAGGCGACAACGTGATGCGAGGGTCAAGGCGAGGCTTCATGATGACACCGGGTGGGGGACTTACTCGACGGTCGTCAATGCTGGTCTTGCGCTGGTGCCGCATCACATAGCCGAACTCGTCTTCGTTTCGCTGAGGCGGTGCAGAAGGGACGGATTGGGGAGCGAAATGCTGAGCAAAGTCCTTGCGCATCTTGATGGGGATTGACGATCCCACGTTGTGGTGCGAGTCTCTCTCGGCCCTCGACATTTCTGGGGACGGCATGCTCAGGAAGGCCGACGGGGTATCGATATTGTCCGGCATCATGAAGTCGTCGAGGTTCATGGGCTCAGAGTTGATTGCATGCTGCTCGGAAGCCTTGCGCAGCTGGGCGATCCCGCTGGGCGCATTTTGCAGTGGCGGACGGGCAGATCTGGGGGGGGGGGGAGGGGGGACAAGGTTGTTAGTCACAAGATGCACCGCACCGACCGAGGGAGAGAGCGCCACAAGGAAAGCAAACGAAAGGGATACATACTTTGCCCGCTCCTCTTCTTGCTTCTTCTTCAAGCTCACATGCATCATACGCCAGGTGAGGTTCTCCATGCGCTCCTGGTTGGGCAGCTGCTTCTTGGTCTTGCTGAAGAATTTCCAGACCTGGGTGGCGAGCGGGTCTTCCTTCTGCAAGTCCTCGGGGCTCTGGCTCAGGCCGGCGGCGCCGTTGCGCAGGTTGTCGAAGACCTCGGCCCTCGACAGCTTCTTCTGGGCCGTGTCAAAGGTCGTGTCCAGGTCCAGATGGAACTCGGGCATGCTGGGGCGGTCGTTGTCGACTGGGAAGCCATTGAGGTCGGCGCCGGCAAAGGCGTGGTGGTGGTCGGCGCCGCCACCGCCCGAGGCGTCATCGCCGTAGGTCCGGCGAGGGAAGCGAAAGTCGTGCTCTGTCGTCGTGGGATGCATTGACGAGGAGGAACTCGTGGATGCGAACTGGGTTGTGTTGCGGAAAGCCATGTCGTACAGGCTGGCCCTCGGGGTGGCAGCTGGTTGATGTTGTGGGCGAGTGTTATGAGAGGATTATTCCCCACGTTTGGCTGCTTGCTGACCGCACAGGCTCGCTCGGTGCAGTCACGCACGAGCCGAGAGGCAGCGCGCGCAAGAAGTGCCCGCTATTAAGAAAACCAGTCCACTCGAGGAATCGGCGCAAGCGAATAAGAGAAAAATAAACGCAGTCAGTCAGTAGACTTTTGCGTGTGTAGTTGGTCGAAGCTGTGCCGGGCGCACGGTCAAACGCTCTCGAGCAGAGTAGGTCCTTTTTTTTGGCCTCGCAGAGGAACGGTCCTGAAAGGTTGCAGAGTGGAAGGTGTAGAATGGCAAGATGGTTTGGTTTGGTTTGGTTTGGAGAGTTTGGTAAAAGTTGCTTGCGGCGGCCCCCCCGTCCGTCTTAGCGGGAAGCGTGCGTGGTGGGCAGGATTTCGAGGTGCCGGTGCGTCGTTGTGGGAAGGGAACTGCAGGTAGTGGGGAACGGTGGCCGGCCCCAGTCCCTCTTTGTGAGCGACCTTTTTTTTCTCAAATCGAGTGATTGATCGCTTTCAAGGTTGGTAGGGGTCACGGAGGTGGTGGTCGTGTTGGTGCGTGGTGGTGGTGGTGGTGGTGGGAGATTCCATCCATCCATCCATTCATTCATTCATTCATTCATTCACTCACTCATTCATCCATCCACCCACCGGGAATCGAGCCCAGCCAGCCAGCCAGCCAGCCAGCCAGCCAGCCAGACAAGAGAGAAAGACGAAGGGGGGGGAACAAGCCGGGAAAGACGACCAACCTGTGAGCAGGGCCACCACCCTGTCACCACCACGGATCTTGCACCTGGAGCGACGGCGTCGACGATATGCTAACGTTAGGTGCCTTAGCCTGCTCGATGGTGGATGCAATGGATGCAATGGATGCTGAGCTTGACTCCTCCAATCCGCCGAGCCGAAGCGATTTGCAGCGTTCGTAGGTTCGAACTTTGCACCGAGATTATAATTAGGAGGGCGACTAGGTGCTGTAGCGGGAGGAGTGGGGGGGCATTCTTCGATTCCGTCGATGGGCTTCTCGACAAGTACAAGTAACTAACTACAATACGGACCCGACTCGGCCAGCATTAAAACAATGTCTTGGGCATCTTACTCGACCAGAGAATAGGGAATCGACCGGTTTGCAGAAACAGCATTCGACATGCTGTAGTTGTATCTCCATGATCAAATTGCCCAAAAAAGACGATACCATATGCCTTCTTCCTCCCTTCCTGTCTATCTGCCTACCTTGAGTACTGAACAGAGGCTCAAGACGAGAGACGAGAGCAGCCCGGGATACTTTAGCATGCAATATAGCCTCTGGCAACCCCTCAAACAAATACTATACTTTCCGGCAGACAAGGAGTGTCATCAACATCCCAAGCTCTGAGCAACGGTTTTACCTGTCAGAAGGGGGTTCGTGTGTACGACGGCGGGATGGGAGAATGTCATGATCTCCAGCCTGCAGGCAAGTCTGGACCGCCAGAATCGAGCAAGAGAGAGTCGCAGCCAAACGGAGGAATCGCGGCATGGCGGCGGGCTGGTGATGCTCGGAAGAGGGCAAGCGTGGGGAGCAGATGCAGAGTGGAGGGAGGGCAGGGGGGTGGCAGGGGTGGCACCCATGGATGATGTGGGTGGGTTGCTGCAAGTACTTGTACTTTGTACAATACAGGGTACAGCAGGGTGGTCTGTGTGTGAGTCGAGATCAATGGATCCTGTCCGTGGATGGACAGGGAATGGGTGGACGAGCCTTGAGCCGGTGGCCGGCGCCCCGACACACCACCAGACTTGAGCCAATGCATGTGCAAATGAATTTCACACTTGCAGTCCTTCTCTTGCTCTCGCTCTCTGTCTCTGTCCAGTCCTCGTCAGCCCAGTCCAACCCCCAATCCCCCCATTCCCAAGCACCCAATCCTGTCAAAGTCCTTGCCGTCCCGGTATTGCTCGGTTCAGTAAGGCACCGGCACGAGAACGGGGGCGGGCAGGGCAGGGCTCTTTGGTGCCTCTTTTTTTGTCTTTCGTAGCCCGTCCGCCTCCATTGAGCTACTATGACTCGGTCAGATCTGCCAAGGACTCGAGCATTTGTTTTTTGTCGTTGTCCCCCATCTACCATGGCAGGTAACTATAGCAAGGTAGGTCGATACAGGGTGGACGACGGGTACAAGCTGGCTCATCCCGCGCCCAAAGAGGCTCGTGGATGGGAATAAGGCGCGCTTAACCACACGACCGACAGCGAGGCTGGTCCTGTCTGTTTCAAGACAGACAGACGTCATCGTGAACATCAATGGATCGTGTCCAAGGAACGGCCAAGACGACAGTGGGCCCAGCTTCGCGGTCGTTAGGCCTCAAACGTGCTAGCAAGATAAACTCGCAGCACCAAGCTCGCACCAAGTCCCACAGCGAAGAGGACCCTGAAAAGGACGGCGGGCAGTGTGCTGGGGAGCAGGTCCGTACGGGTTGCTACAGGTATAACCGCTTGGCTGGAAGAATAACCGGAGTCTGCCGCCTGAGAGTGTGCACGTAGGTAGGAGGTAACTATGTGACACTATTCACACACGAGTTACTTGACTTGGATACTCTCCTGCTGCCCGAGGACAGAGTGCCCTCTTGAACGAGTCCCGAGTCTCCCCTCTTGCTCTCCTCCTCGCTGTTCTCGCTCGAGGTCCGGCTTGCTTGTGAGTTGTGACCTCGCAGCGAGTGCTGCCAGCCCGCGCGCGGCACAGAGCAGGGAGTGCTGGTCATCATCCCACGCTCGACCCCTCCAACTCCATCGAGATCCTGGAGAGCCAGGGCGTGTTCAGTACGACGGTCGGCAGGGATGGCTGCCAATGGAGACGAGCCTCCCGCACAAGCCTGTAATTAAGCGGCCTTCAGTTGGCTATTGTTTTTTGATTTCTTCCATACAAGTTAGGATGACTGCGTCGCCCAAGATGCAAGCAACCGTGGATGGCCGCACGCACCGCACGACATTCTTCAGCCGCAGCACATCTCTCGACTTGTCGGACCACGGGGCGGGCGTGCACCTTTGCATCAGACCGCGAGATATTGGATTGCGTACACAAATAGGGAGCGCCTCTATGGTTCTTCGGCAAGAGTATCATCATCAAGAGAAGAGAAGAGAGAGAGAGAGACACGAGCTGATGGACCCACGGCACGCAGCATGGCAACTGGAGCCAACCCTCCCTCCCTCCCTCCCTGTCTGGCGTATGAGCATGCAGTCAGTGCATGGGTCTGTCTCTCTCCTTCAGTGGGTTTGGGGTGCGTGCCCGCATAGACGAAAGCACGAACAACCTGAGTACTTGTAGTTACAGAGCTAGGGATAAGTACAAGTACCAGCTACCGGACAGGGATGGCGAGCACTTGCATCCGACCTCCAGGATGACCCCCACTCGGGAGCACGAGAGGAATGCATGCGCCAAAGAGCCAAAGAGCTTGCTTTCCTTGCCCTCCCACTCCCGCCGTCACGTCTTTTTCTCCAGCAGCCAGCAGCCAGCAAGCCAGGCAGCGGAAGCGAGTTCGGACTGCAAAGCTCGCCGCCAATTGGATCCTCGCAATTGACAGCAACGTTCTCGGTCGACGACAACGGTTCTTGGTCTGCCGCACATCAGCCAGAAACCCACCCCCATGCCCTTTGCGTGCAGTGCATGTCGCCGCTCTCCAAACAGGCAAATGCGCAGTGACCAGAAACAATAAATCGTGTGACTGTCTGCGCACCGCCCGCAGTCTTGATCCCGGGTCGCGAGTCAGGTTTTCCCCATCGAGACAAACACTGGTCAGCCAGCCCAGCCAGTCCAGCCAGTCCAGCCCAGCCAGCCCCCCCCGCCCTGGCTCCCGTCCTTTTCTGTACCGCTGGATCCCTCCAAAAGTCTAGACCCACCTGCGAACGCTGGTTCTATCGCTGTTCTTATCAATGAACCCGGCCATTTGCTGTCGTCGATTTACTAATGCGCAGCAAAGACATCTGTCAGCAAACTCGAACACTTTCCCAAAATGGCAGTGAGAACATCCAGACGCCGAGGATGCGAGAGTCAACTGGTTGACGTACGGAGTAGTCAAGTCTGGTAAGCCAGGACCTCGACCTTTTGTCCCTTTTTCTACAGTACTTGTAGGCATTTGACCTTTCCTCCGTCTTTCCCGGGTGTTCATCGCCGATTCCTTTGAAAAGACACATCGTTGCAGTACAGCAGTTGGTTTTCCCCGTCATTGAATGCTCGATCGAGTTCACATGCAATTGCTCCGCAGCGCCTTACGCAGACATATGACGACACTTTTTACAAGTGCATACCTAATGTAAATAAGACAATGCCGCTAGGTACGCCTGAGTCTCCCCGAGTCTATCGTGACCCCCTGGCGAACTAGCGGCGACTGGCATGGCACATGCTTCCCGTCCATCCTCAGCCTCAAATGCGCCATGTCAATGGCCAGGCCGCAGGTTCGTTGTGCTCCGTAATGCATGATGTGTCTCCCCGAGGTTGGGGGGCTTCTGAGACGCGGACACCCGCCAAATACCACATGGCTCCGGGTCAAGTTCATGGCAGCTCCTCCTTCCCAGATCCCTTCTTCTCCCGATCCAAAGTGGACCGGCGAGATCCACCCGGTCTGCGGTCTGATAAGGAAAGCCTCGAAGCGGGCTGGCTGGTCGGAGTTTCTCGAGGTCGTTACTGGCTGGTGAGGCGCCCTACTCTAATAGAGTAGCTCGCCGCTATCCTCCAGTGCCTCCAGACTAGTGACACGAGGTAAGGGTTGCACCATTGGCGGTGCATCGTCGAGCCTTGTCTTGGGAATAGTTACAAGTACTTGGAAGAACCCTAGAAGGCAACGCCCGAACCGGTGGTCCGCCAAGGCAGCACTAGGCCGGGATGCTGCTGCAGGCATCCGGGCGACAGCAGGCAGAGCACTAGGTACCTACCAGACACAGGTGGTAAGCAACGGGTCCCTCGTGCGTTTTTCACACTTGCGTTCTCCGCAATAACCATGCCTCTCTGTCTCAAATATCCCGTCAACTAACTACTTGTACAAGCAGCATATCAAGGAAGAGGGTGACTGGTGGGGTTCGTGCATCTGCAACTGCAGTGCGGCGCCGTGCAGTGCAGCGCACCGCAGCGCAGTGGCAGCCAAAGAGGAGAATGGGCCGTTGCGGCGCTGCTGCGACGACGCAACCGCTGTGGGGAGAGCGCCGCGCAGTGCGACCGTACAAGTACAGGTAGTTAGTGGAAAACAAATTACATTATGGGTGATGTCAAGTCCTTCCCGGCTCTTAGGTGATGCTTTGTTGGAGAAAGGGAAGGGAAAAAAAACCGGGGACTCACTGATAAGAACAGGACCCAGAATTTATTTTGACAGCTCCGGTCAGCGCGCCGAGGATCACCCTATCAGCCTTTTCAACCACCTAGCTAGGGAAATACGGCACGGGTAGAGCGCCCTTTCTGCATCTTGGCCCTTCTTGCATTCTGCTTGCCCTGCCCTGGCCCGGCCTAGGTAGCTCTCGTCGAAAGAAGATTGTCCGGCGCCCGGCGCCCGTGGCGTGAGGGCGGTGAGATTGGCCACCATCCCCGATGCTTGTTAGGCGCTGTCAGTCACTACTCCAGATGGCTTCGTTCGCAAAAAGCGCGCTGCTTCGTATGAGATTCCGGGAAAACACGGTAAACCCTTCTGGTCATACCGTGTTGCACACAGAACGTTTGGTGTGGCGTCCGCGTTCCCCCGATGCGGTCGATGCTGGTGCCATGGTGAGTGAACCTCTCGACGGCGCCGCCGCACAGAGGAGATGGTGCTTGTCGGTGCGACAGTCCTATGGGACCCCAGTGCTGTGTGAGAGAAAGACACTCCTTCATCGGAGCAAAGGCACTCTGCCCACGCAACAGCCTCGGCGGAGTTCTATCCCCATTCTCGGACACTCCCAGCCTAGGCATTATTCGCCTCCTCAAGAAGGACGGAAAGAGGATGTTTTTCTCTTTCGGGAGCCGCATTGCCGAGGGGCCTCGTTGAAGCCACTTGCCCAGATGGTTATTCTGGTCTGGACCGGTCGTAGACCCCGGTTGCTGTGTTGACCTGTGACTACTGGAAGACCTTCCTCGCGGCGGGAACGATTCGCTCGTACTAAATGGGTCGTCGCAGCGTCGTACAGATCGATGTCCTGTGTCGTATCCTCCGTTCTCGCAGTCCATGTTGCAGAAGTGTAGGTCGGCAGGATCACGGTCTGCCATTCGAGATATGGAGCCCGGACGTCATCATGCCTTTGGTCAACCTCGAGGTGCATGAGTGCTTAGCCCTTGGACGGTTGAGGCCACAGAGCCCAGTTGAGGGCAACACATAGGGAGAAAACAAGTTGGTGGGTAGTTAGGCACATTTGCTCGTTATATCGGCTTCTAGAGCGAGCCACAGGACATGTTTGAAACGGGATTGCAGTCCATCTTATACCTGGCTGCGGCTTCATCACCTCATAAACACCCCCAAAGGCCAAAGTGGGAGATGGCCCTTATCTTCTGCTCTCAGTAATTCTGAAAGGCGGGATGGGATAGTGGATGTGCCATGATGGCGGAAGGGGAAGCCACAGAAGCCGTAGATAGGAAACAGTTTGGGGCTGTCCAGCTCGCCCGTTCCGCAACCATTCCGCAATCCGATATGATTGTTTAGCAAGCACGCCAATTCAGATGAAGATCACTCGAGCCATCTCCGCGGGACTGGCTGGCTGGCACTGGTTGGCGAGATTGATTCGTGCTTGCACCGCCCCCTATCACGACCACGGCTGTTATCTCCAAAGATTGCTCGCTACACACCCACCTTCCTATGGCAGTCGGTCTGATCTTTTATCAAACCCTTATTCCTTGAAGATAATTCCCGGAGGCCCTATCATACCTCCGTGGGGGAGAGGGACTACTGCAGGACTCTTTAAAATGCGCATGCAGTACCCGTCGTGCAACGTCTGTCTGTGACCATTGTCTCATGGACTTCGAGGACGGCACGAGGCCCCGTGGCCTTCCTTGCATATAAACAAAATCACGAATCTGGTTCGCCCATTCAACTGTTGCGCTCTCTCCTCCTCCTCGACAATACGCGGACCTAAACGGCACGACTACTTCGGAGGAGTGAACCGACAAGATACTCACGTGCCCCATGCCATGTCGGCAACTCGTCTCGAGGCGCGCCCTGCTTACGACTCCTTCTCGAGAAAGCACGAAGGACAAATACACCAAATGTCACGGCCTGAACCACGCCCAAATTCGATACTCGTCTAATGTCAGTTCTCTCGAGATCGTTGAAGCCCGCAGCATCTAGCTAGATGTTCCCGCGACCTACCTCCCTTCCCATACCGGCTCGACGACGCAAGGCTTGCGCGAATCCGAACATGATAGGCCCCGTGTTACCAAGTCCCGGCCTCTCCTATCAAAGGTGATATGCGAGCTAAGTTGATTGCCCGGTCTATGCTCGTGGGCGGTTGTGCCAGCCTCCCGACGGCCCAGCATGACGAGGGTGGAGGACTGAACATGCAAGGCTGGCATATGGATTGGTTCACTCACAGAGAGCAGAAACGAGACGACTTCTAGCCAATGATCAACTTATTCTTTGGATTCTGTCAAAATGCTGCTAGGAAATGAGTAGCCAAGATGCTACTGCGAAAACGCATACCAAAAACAACCAGACTGACACTATATACAGTTGCGAAAAGCGAATGTAATCTATCCCTCTGCAGCGGATCGCCAACAAGATCATAATATCATGAAACCCCTTCCCTGCTCCTCCGGAACGCGAGACCATCCGTTCGAGATGAGCGCATTATTCCAAACGGAAACAGGCCTAGAAGCCAATGCGCTCCCCCGTTCGACTCCCTGCTCCGGGCAACCTAGCAGCTGCGAGCAATATTCAAACACATCGTCCAACATAAAAACCATCCGTCCGAGATGGAAAAAACACCGTACTCAAGGGAAAAAAGGGCCTAGTAGCCATGAAACACTCCCGGTCTGTCGATCTTTTGCAGGCAGCAAGCCCAGAAGCCGCGAGCAAAATAATCAAACCGTCGTGCATACATGAAAAAAAAAAAAAAAACCCCCAAAAAAACAAAACCTACCTTTTTTTTCTTTCGCCCGCCTTCCCTCCCGAAACGTTATGTTTTCCAACAAGGAAAAAAGGCCAGCGCCCCCCGCCTTACAACATGGCAGCGACGGCCACCGCGCCGCCGAGCACGGCGCCCACGACTTTCACGTTCCGGAGGTCGTCCCGCGCCGCCGCCGCCGCCGAGCTGCCGGTGCCGGTGGGCTGGCTCGCCGCCGCGGCGCGCAGCGTCGACGTGGCCGTGAGGCTGCCGCTGACGGCCTCGGCGATGGTCGCGAGGCCCGTGCTCGTCGTGATCACGTCGCTACCACCACCACCACTCCCGGAGTTGGTCACCGTCGCCGTCACCGTCGCCGTCCGCGTCGTCTTCCAGTCCCAGCCGTGGCCCCAGGGCGCCCAGCCGCCCCACGCGCCGCCGCCGCCGCCGAGCCACGGCGAGCCGTCCCAGGGACAGCCCGTGACGGTGACGACGGCGCCCGAGGTCCAGGTGCGCGACGGCCCGCCCTCCCAGTGGCCCGGGCCGTGGCCCCAGCCGTCGCCGTTGCCGCTCCAGCCGCCGCCGCCCATGCCGCCGCCCATGCCGCCGTGGTGCCCGCCGGGTCCTCCGTACCCGCCCCAGGGCCCGCCGCTCGCGGTGACGGTGTAGACGCCCGTGCTGCCGGCCGAGGAGCACGAGGACCACTGGCTGCAGAGGGAGGAGGACAGCGACGAGTACGAGGACCAGGCCGTCGGCGTGGCGGAGCAGGCGCTCGTCACGCACGAGGCCACGGGCGCCGTGGTGGCGGAGCAGTACGACCCCGGGGAGGGCCAGTCGGTGGCCGAGCTGTAGTGGGACGAGAAGCACGAGTGCTATATTGGAAGGGAAGCGCCCGAGGTCAGTCTTTTTTTTTTCCCCGTCCCTTCTTCTCCTTTTCTGAAAAGTGTTTGGTTTGGGGAGGCGGGATATGGGGACAAGTAAAATGGCTTATCGACTTACAGCGCAGTCAGGGGCTCCTCCCCACCACTGCGCGCTTGCGAGTGCAGGCGCCAGTAGGGCGGTGATTGAGAATGTCTTCATGTTTAGAGAGATAATATGTGCCTTTCTTAGATCTTGTGACTTGTGTGTGTGTGTGCGTGCAAGAGTGCAAAAAGAAGAGGTTCCGCGACAGTTTTGTCCGGACCGTTTTTCGGGCAAGCCTTGCAGGGTCCGTCCGTGTAAGTCAGTGCAAAGAAAAGAGATGGCAACGTCTCTTGATATACAAATCCAAGTTGAAAAAGTCTAAAATCCCCGTGGAGAAGGCCAACAGGTGACATGATATTGCGAGCATGCGAGGATCACGTCTTCTAATATACGGATCCAGGCTCAAAAGCCTAAATCTCTGTGGAACCCAACAGCTGATGTTGACATCCCGAGCCTCAACGATCAGAACAGGGCACCAGCACATGTGATGCGTCCAACCTCCCCCCAGGGCCGGGTGCATGCAGACAACTCACCGCCAAGAACAAAAGTCCGGGACCGAAGGAAGAGCAAATGGGAGTTTTTTTTACACTGCCCAAGGTTCATCCTACGATCGACAAAACGCGCGTATCTACCGATGATGATGGGCGGGGGGGGGGGACGGGACCCTAGCGACATCAATACCGAGCAACACAAAAGAGTGCGGGACCAAAAAAAACGCCCTGGCGCTGCTGCTGCTGCTGCCGCTGCCGGTCGCTTGCCCGTGTGGTGGTTGGACAATCAGCCCTTCTGCTGAGCTGAGCCCGACGTCCTGGCCGCGCGGCCCTGCATCATGACTGAAGAGCCCTCTCTTGGGAGTAGCCCGAGCCAGCTAATGAGAAAAGCCCGCGCGCGCGGAAGGATTCTAGGGTTGTGCGGGCGGTCGGGACCGAAGGTGCTCCTCAAGACACCTTTCGCATGCAAAGCTGTGGGCGAGCATCGTCAGCTCAGCCAGCCAGCCAGCCAAAAACCCAATGTGATAGGGCGGGCAAAGATTTGGGGGAGGTCCGTGTCGGTCGGCGGCCAACTTTGAACGCCGGGCAACGTTATTGCGCGAGGTCCGCTGCCGTCCCAGCCCAGCATAGCGTGGCACATACATCCCCTTTTCTGCTTACCACAGCGATCCCCCCGAGAACTGCTAGCACCGAGTAAGCTATTGGGGGTTTGGGGGGTGTTACGTATTCCCCTTGTTTCCAGTGGAAAGAAGCTTCGGGGAATGGGGGTCGTCTTGCTTATGCTTATTTCTTCTACCCTTGGTGACGTTGTTGTTTTCGCCCTGTCCCGGGCCCTGTGTGGGGTTCCATCGTCGGCGGTCGGGGTGGGTCATGTCCGTCCGGCGACGATCGCCCTTCTCCCCATATAGAGAGCTCTTTGCAGACGTAAGCCACCCCCATGTCGTTGTTCAAGAGAGGATTAGAGTTGTCAGTATCTGTTTCAGGATATCCTAGTTTCAGCCCTGCGAGATTGGGTGTATCCATCTCAACTCTTGCGTGTAGTAGCAGCAGGCAGATTGGTCCGTCCGGATCTCCAGCCAAGGTTGGAACTGACCGCCTGCACTTCTGAAACATTCTTTCCCACGATGATGAAGGCGATGACGACGATGGATTGGGCTCTGGCTGCTCAAACTTCCGGTATCTTTGGTCATCTGTCATAGTCACACAGTCCACCGCTCTGCTTGGCTGGCGTCCATAGCTAAGTAAGTGATCACGGACAGTCGCACGATTCCGACCTAGCGAGGCGAGGGACTTGAAGAACGGCCATGGAGAAAGTATTCTTGTCTCATTACCAAACCTCACTACCTCATGGAGCTCCCACCAATGCCCTCCCTGCCCATCATCATGTGCTCAAAAGTCTAATAATACACCGCCCGCCTTCCCACCATTAATCCCCGACCCGACCAGTTTGCAGGCCTTCTAATCCATTGAACTCACACCCACACACTCCTTACGCGAACTCCGAGATTAGTATGCATATGAAAAGAAAAAAAAAGACAAGACGAGAGGACAGAAAAGAAAAGGAAACACACAAGACAAGAAGAATCTCATGGTAGAAAGCGATGAACTCTCTCAAAAGACACGAGAAGTTCCTTCCTAAACCCCGAGGACAAATGCCAAAATCACAAACGATTCCCGTGGCAGTACTCGACGTCTTGATGCAATGCCCGCACAGAATTCATCCCAAGCCATCGGCGCTCAAGCCCTCCTGCCTGGCTATGCACCGCCGCATGTGTCACTCGGTGGCCCGCATCCACAACCGACTTCCTGGGGTCTTGGAGACGAGAGGCGCCCACGTCCTTGCGCCACCACACTCTTTCGGCGCGGGCCGGTACAGCCACGCCGCCTGCTGCTGCGCGAGTAGTCGGCGCAGCCTGGGCAGACTCGTAAGCGTGCCCAAAGTATAACCTTCCGTACGCGTCCGTCTTGGCCGGTTGTCCCCCCTACAACATTGTGCCAAAGGTGTCCGTCGTGATCGGCTTACGTGGAGTGCCCTCCTCGGTCTGGGGCTTGCGGTGCCGGAACGTGAAGCCGACGAACAGGCTCTTGCCCATCTCGTCGTCGCGCTCCGCCATGCTCTCCAGCGCCTGCTGCTTCTCGTGCACCTCCTTGTACTTGGCCATGTCGGCCTCGTTGCTAAAGTCGTCGAAATAGCCCGCGTCGGTCTCCGAGTCTAGCTCAGGGACGAAGGGCGCCCTGGTCTCGCGGAGGGTGGCCCAGTCCACCTCTGCAAAGTAGTGGTGGCCGTAGATGTCCTTGATGTTGGCAAACCGCCTCGACCGGGAGTTGATGCAACTGTGGTACGGGTTAGGACGGGTCCGATCAAGCGGCACAAGCTTTGGTCACTTACGTGGTGATGAAGTTCCAGGTCCGGTTGCTGAGGAAGTAGTTAGGGTCCTCCCAGACCGGGCGCTTGAGGACTTCCCTCCAGTGCTTCAGGTTGCGCCAGGTCTCCTCTGGGGTCGAGCCTGCAAAAGGCGGGAAGCCGGTCAAGGCCTCGAAGAGCATGCAGCCCAAACTCCAATAGTCCACTGTGAAATCGTACTCCTCGCCCCGGAGCACTTCCGGTGCCATGTAGTCTGGAGAGCCGACGATGGACTTGGCATAGTTCTCGTCGTTATCGCGCATCGAGCGATAGTCGTCTCGACGCTCGGCCACGGTCCGCTGATCCATCGGCTTGCCAAAGGGCACCGGAGTCTCGGAAGCCTTCTCCAGACGGATCCGCATCGACTCGATCTTTGCGGGAGAGAGCATGCCGGCAGCAAGGCCGAAGTCGGTCAACTTGACATGTCCAGTCGAGTCCACCAGGAAGTTCTCGGGCTTGAGATCGCGATGGATGTACCCGAGCTGGTGAAGGGCGTCGACCGAGCAAAACATCTCGGCGATGTAGAAGCGAGCGTGGCGGTTCGAGAGCACGCCGGTGTTGTTGAGCAGCGTTCGGAAGTCACCGCCGGGCACGTATTCCATGGCAAGATAGATACTCTTCTCATCCTGGAAGGAGTAAAGCAGGCGCACGAGCCACTCGCTCTTGGCGGTAGTGAGGATATCTCGCTCGGTGAGGACGTGGCGGACCTCGTCTAGCTTGAAGAGAAGCTTCTTGCTCATGACCTTGAGAGCGCACACCTCCCGCGTATCCTTCTTCTGGGCCAGGAAGACCTGGCCATAGCCGCCCTGTCCAACCTGAGTCAAGATCTGGAAATCGCCGTGCCGAAGGCGGACACGGCGCTTTCGGAGGTTGGCGCGTTCACGGCCCGCGTACTTCTGCCACATCTGATTGTAGGTCGCCTCGTCGGTCTCTGGGGGCGCCGGGAACTCCTGTCGGAAAGCATTGAGGCGGTTCTGTCGGTTGCCAACGTAGGTCAGAAGGTCAAAATAGTAGTCCAGGAAATCTGCATAATGAAGATGAAGGATTAGCCTCTAGTCCTGAATCGGGTCTGAGCTGTATCAAACATCGTTCTACTCACAAAGCTGCGTGACATTGACCAAGCGCTTGACGCCCGGCTTCTTGAGAATCTCCAGCTCCTCGGGCGTGAGACCGCGAGATGTGTTGAACCTCTTGGCTGGGGTCGAGGGCCTCTCTCGCATGTGGTAGAGCTCTTGGCGCGACAGGGCGGCATGGCTGTGCTGCTGGTAGGCGGCTTCTGGCATCTGCAGGCGCGAAGTAGGCGGCGGGTTATTCTCCTTGCCCTGCTTGCCCTGCGGAGTACCAGGAGTGGCGCTGCCTTTGTGGATGATGCTGTCATCGACCAACGAGGACTCGTCTGCGGCTTGGACATTGCTCTTGCCAGGTGAGAGCGGAGTGACCGCGCTCTGAGGGCGGCCCAGCTTGACGGGGCTGTCGAGAGGGTTGGTGGAGGTGAGCTTCAGGTTCTCCAGGGCTTGGGGGAGTTCATTGGCGCCCGGAGGCACCGTCTTCTTGCTCGGGCTGCCTTGCGGGGTGCTGACGGGGGTGATGAAGTTGTTGTTGTTTTTGGTCGGGGTCGCGGGACGCGAGTTGGCGGCCGACTTGTCCTGCTTTGCGCCAGGGAAGAAGTTGGACATGAAGCTCGCCATGTTGCTTGCTTGCTTGCTTGCTTGCCTCTCTGCCTGCCCGTGGTTTTGGTGGTGTTGATGCTGGATGGGAGGAAGAATGCGCGCGCAACTGCGGTTGGGCCGCGACGAAAACAAAATAAAACCGGTGGTGCCCTTTGTGTCAAGTAAGGGGAAGGAGGTATTACACAGAGTCAGTGGTGAAGGATAACTACCTAGGTACCTACAGTACTTGAGGGAGGGGTGGCCAGTGAGTGACCAGGTATCGATGGCGATCCATTCGCTCCCTGGCTGGGCTGCAGGGGGAAATGCTGGGGTTCGATGTAGTACAGCGTCATTGGCCCCTCTGTGGCCCCCCCACCAAACACGCCGTTGCAGCGGCAACAATCTCTCAGGGCTGGAACGCGACTCGCCTGCGCACCTTCAATTTATTCAGGCGCGCGATAACGATAACAGTGGAGGCGCGTTCCAGACGTGTTTCAGCTGCGGATTTTTGGTCCGTTGGTTCTCGAAGATGATATGATGGAGCTGGGAATTCTAGTAAATGCCACATGTACCTGTCAATTGTATTGCTTTTCCTGCTGCCGCTGTCCAAGTTCGGGTACTGAGAGAGCCAGCCAATCCAGTTGATGTTGGACAAACGAAGCCTCCACTGACAAGGACTTTGAGATTTACCGAGTAAGCCTTCCGCCTTGTAACGTACAGCAAAGCAGAGAGACTCCTGGCAACATGGACAAGTGGAATGTCGAGGTTTATCTCCATGTATTCCATTGGGGTTTCTGGTCTCGTGCTTTCTCCCTTTGATCATGGGATATTTGCCAGAACTTTGGCAACCATATCGCATCTCCACTCAAGTGGCTGTCTGAATACTTACTTGTAGGAGCTACCTCGATCTGAACAATCTATATCCTTGTCACATCCTTGCCCTACAACTCGGAAGGGCTATCTCACTACTAAATCCGATGAGCTCGATGGATAGTCAAGTAGATACTTTTCTGTTAGCAGTCCGTCAACTAATCTGACCATCGCTTGTCCACTCTACCTAAAGGTCTAGATGTTGTAGGTCCACTAGCAGTTTTCCCTCCTACATTGATCATCTTTGTCGAGGCAATCCACCCCCACTGCAATGAATCACAAGCAAGATCGATATGCGTCAAAAACATGAGGAGACATGATGGCAGCCTTTTGATCACCCAGGCCGGTACCGGCCCTCAGGCTGCTTACCCACTCCAAAGAGCATGCAAATGGCTCGGAAACCATTACACACGAATACACTGCCTACGGCCATACCGGGAGCCGGATCCCTTCTGGCGGTGTCTGCCCGACAATATTGAACGAAGCACACTGACTAGGCCAAACCGAGAAGCCAAGCACGATCCGTCAAATGGTGTCAAGTGATGTTGCATCCACCTTGACTCCTCGTCGCCCGTATTCGCCATCGGCCTCAACAATAGATCCTTAATCCCTCGTAGTGAACAATGCCCTACTCGCGGTCTGTCGCGGTTTAACAGCTATGACACGAATAAGGCACCTTAGTCTATGTATCTCGTCGCTCTCCTGCTTCCACTCCGTGTCAGTCCGGATCCTCCAAAAGCCGGGGCGCTGCTTTTCCACTCCCCGTCTTTGACGAGCCCCCAAAAACAGCGCATCTTGACCCCCAAAGTAGCCAGCCTGTCATACGACCAAGCCCGACGGCGTTGAAGACTGTGGGCGACGGCCCACATGGATCCCGACGAGGTGCGGCGATAAATCAACTAGGTAGCACTGCAGTGTTTGCAGGCCGGCCCTCCCCGGGCATCAGATCTAATCTTATCAGATCATCTGCTCCCAAGCGCCCAGCCCTCCCCTCCCCCATTTAAACTAACTGGGATCTGCTGATCGTTTTCGCTGCCCCCTTCCCCCTCCTTTTGACCTTCCCAAGCATAGCCTCCAAGTCCTTCAGATCACGCGTGTCTTTTTGCTTGCATAGATCTTGCTCTGCAGTGAAAACGAAACGCTTTTGAGGATCATGAAGGCCTCCCAGCTCCTCACGCTCGCCGCCGCGGGCGCCGCCGCCGCGGGCAGCGTGCTCGACTCGCCGCTCGGCACCACCGCCAGCGGCTACGACGCCTCGGAGCTCTTCGCCAACCCCGACGCCGCCCCGCGGGACTTCCGCATCCCGACCCCGTACGAGTCGGCCGTCATGGGCCGCCGCATCCTGGCCCTGACCCCGCTGGGCACCCTGTCCACCGTCTTCCCCGAGGACGACGACCACCACTCGGGCAGCCGCCACCACCACTCCTTCGACCGCCATCGGCCGGAGGGCCTCGGCGGCGTCCCCGTCGGCCTCGTAGACTACGTGGCCGACTGCGAGGACCGGGGCAACCCGACCATCCTGGCCATCAACATCGCCACGCCCTTCCGCAACGTCCGCGCCGGCAGCAACATCAGCCTGTCCATGCGCTGGACCCCGCCCTACCCGCCCGCCAAGCGCATCTCGGTCCTCGAGTGGCTCGGCCTGGCCTCCCCTTCCTCCTCCTCGCCCGAGGACCGCGTGCCCTACTCGGCCGCCAACCTGCCCCGCTTCTCCCTCATGGGCTACCTCGAGAAGGTCGGCGCCGACGAGGCCGAGGCCGCGGGCCTCTCCGCGTGCTTCGTGCGCGCGCACCCGGACGCCCGCTACTGGCTGCCCGGCAACCGCATCCACTCGGCCGAGTGGGCGCGCCTCGTCGTCACCCGCGTCTACTGGGTCGGCGGCTTCGGCGACCGCGCCTACATCGGCTGGATCCCCGCCGAGGAGTGGGGCAGGGTCACCGCCGAGGAGTGGCAGGGCATCCGCCTCCCCGGCGAGAAGAAGGGCTGGAAGGAGTGGTCCGTGGGCGAGTGGTCCGAGTCCGACCTCTGAAGGGGAGCTGTTAACGCAAGAGATGAAGAACCTGACTACATGTGCTCGACGTTGCATATGAGGTTGTACAAAGATGGACGGTGGTATGTCTCCTACTTTGACTCAGATTGTAAATACATAGTTATGCACTAGCATATCTTTCGCATGGTCGGGATAGCCTATTCATTTACGACTTATCATCATCTTACTTTCATACTTCAGATGTCGTGCGAGTGAGGGTGTGTGCCATTTTGATGCCATTGGTATCGTCCCGCGGGCTTTGTTAGACATCTCACTGACATGCTCACATTTTGCCACGAACAACGACACAGTGGAATGTGCAAGGTAACACTCGACTGCTCCATTTTGATATTAACCATCACTCAAAGTATGTAATTGGCATTGATAGCCCTTTCGGGGGGGCAATAAGCTGCACCACACACCAAAGCGCTTCTCTTTGCCTAGCTAGCGAATGCAACAGCATGAGTCGTGGCCAGCCCCAGGTACGTACATGTACAGCAACTCAATACCCATACCACGGCGCAAGTTTGATAATATATGTACTTGATCGTGTTGCCTGCCTGCCAGCCTGCCTGCCTGCTCGGCTCTCCATATCAGTCCACCCGCACCACGACCTTCCACCCCAGCGCTCCCGCCTCTCGGATGGCGCACGAGAGGCACCCCCTCCTCCTCCGGCTGATGAGCGCATTCCACCCCTTCTCGGCGCAGAACGCCCGGATCAGGATCTCCACGTCCGACCCAAACTGTCTACGCCTGGTCTCGTGGTGCATGCTCTGCGCCGCCTCCTCCCGCGAGCTCACGGGCGAGAGCGGGCTCATCTCCGAGCTGGAGCGGCTGACCACGGGCGACAGGGGGACCTCGTGCGCCAGCGGCTGCGGCGTGAAGCCCGTGATGCAGTCGATGACCAGGACCTTGGGCGTGGTGTCTGTTGTCGCGGGCGTGAGGCTGGGCCGGTGGGACGACGACCTGTAGTTGTTGAGGTGCTGTTCTAGGGTCCAGGCCTCCTTCTCCAAAAGATCTGAAAGATGCATTGCTGCGTATGTATACGACTTGTGGAGCGGATGACCTATAGCAAAATGAGATCACTTAGTAAATGAGTTGGGAACACAGACTGTCCCAGGTGCTTACCAGTAATGGCCGCGGGTGAGGACTGGTGCGGCGTCATGCCGCTATCCGAAACGTCGATTTGCTGAATGGTTGGACTCGATGGTGATTTCATAATCTTGACATGTTTTGAAGGAACACAAGGATGAGCCGTGACGAAGTGGATATCGTGCGATAAAGCCAAGGTATATTCTGTACCCTCGAACTCATCCTCTTCGGTGACGGAGAATGAGATGGCTGCCGGGTAGGTGTGGATTTCGGGAATCTTGCTGACTTCAGAGAAGGGGGTAGGAGCTGGCGTGTTCTCCTCCGTGGGCGTCGTATGCACTGAATCCACGGGGGCGAACAGGTTGAGAGACTTGAGGACGATGCTCAAGTTCGGTGGAGGGGAGTCCCCGTAGTTGTTCTCGTGGGGGATGATAAAGTCGGCTGGGAGGACCGACGCTGGGTCCGCCTCGCCAAGAATCGAGGATGACTTCTCAATATTGGCCTTGCCCCAGAGACGAGCCCGCTTGTTGATATTGATGACTTCATCTGTGATTGTGTCAGCATGAATTTGGCCCCTTAATGTATTTCCATTGCACCGACGCACCTCGGAGCTCCTCAACTTCAACGTTGACCCACGAATCAGCAATGCCTTGGGGTGTGATATCGCTCGAGATCCAGCCCATACACTCAGCAGACCCCTTGCCAGCTGCCAGCACGCGCCCGACGATGCAAGCCGTGCTCCAGAAACTCTTTCCCCGGTACACGAAGCCCCCACAAAGGTTAGCCATGGGACCTAACGTAGACATGGCTTCCTTGTCGTTCTCGAGGAGCGTAGCCATGAGGAAGTGATACATCCCCTCCCCGGGAAGCATGAAGCCGGAGATGAAGCTGCGAGACAGCCAGCCAGAAGGGTTGAGCCCGGCAGCCACCTTACGCTGTCTTGAGGGCTGCCGCTTGATGTTCGCCGTCGGGATGCCGTCTCCGCCAAAATAGGAAGACCGAGGTGTACCGCCGGGAGCCGGGGTCGTCAACGGAGTACTCAACGGCGTCCCTTCCGTAACGGCCCTGCAGTTGTCCGTAATGACCTTCGCGTACCCTTCGATACCAGGCCACCTGAGCCTTCGCGCGAAGTGGGTGAGGCCATCCACCTGGCGCTGGCTATGCCTTCCTTTCATCGCATACACCATGTGCTTCTTTTGCTGGCTATGGTGATGAGAGTGGGGCAGGTGGCCACCTTCAGCCGACAGCGAGATCCGCTTGGTCAAGGTCGCAAGCCATCCGGTATGGTTCTGTGCCGTCTGGTCGGATCCAGCTGGTTCCGACTTCGAGATCTCGATGTTCTCCAGCCATGCTCGCGCAAGAATCAACGTCCATTTCACTGATGTGTTGGCGTCCTTTTCGAACCGGTGCACTTCCGAGGGCGATATGCTCTCGGTCCCCAGCTCGTCCCCTTCCGTTATCGCATCGAGACGGATCAGTAGCTCTGTGCCGAGCAGAATCTGTAACAAGAGCCAGTACCGCTCCTCCTGTCTCTCGTCTGCCGTCCCGCTCATCTGAATCGACGCTCCGTCGTGCACATCATCCTCGGTTTCTGCCGCCCAGAGAATCTGGCCGAGTCGAATGCGCCACTCCACATGCGAGAAGTCAATCCACACATTCGGCATCGCCAAAACCTTGAGAAGGGCCTGGATCTGCACCGAGAGACTGTAGGGATCATAGTGGTCCAACACTCTCGTTGGCGGGTGGAGGATCCCGAGGAAGAGCTCATTGTAGAATTTGGTGGAGGCGCGGCTGTCCTTCATGTTGTTGTTGCCGTATCTCGCTCCATTCTTGAGCAGTCCTTCCATAATAGCGTCTTCCTCGAGATGCCGCAGGCCCAGCTTTGACGTCAGCAGTCTGCGTCGAGCCTCGATTACAGCATTGGCCTTGTGGCCCATGCTGTCGAAGCCGAACTGTTCTTCCTGCAGCGCATCCCCGACAGCCATCTCCAGAGCCGCCTGATATCCCACGGTGCCCTTCTCCAAGCCCTGCATGCTGAGCATACTGGGTCTCTCACGGCATCGAGGGTAGAAATGGGCCCGTTTCCGGCTGTCGGCGATGGACTTGCGTCGGTGGGACGACTCGCGCCGGATGAGGTGCGGCCAGGCCGTCACGCCTCCCCATGCTTCATCCTCAATCTGTGTATGGTCTGTGAGGTCTCTAATCTCAAGAGACTCATCCCAGGGGAAAGCAACGCTGGGATGCGGCGCGCCGGTGAAATGGCCCTCGGACCGGGCGAAGTACTGCGGGGCGCCCGAGAAGAGCTTCTCGAGGTCTTCGTCGGTCAGCGTCGACATAATTCTGGCAAGCTTGAGGACTGGCTTGGCCGGAGGTCCGATGTCGTTCTCGCTACCGGGGGGCGGTGGTGACGGTAAGGGCTTGTTGGGATTGACGGGCGAGCGCGGAGAGACGGGACTGTCCGTAGATCGGAGCGGAGGCGAGGCCTATGAGATCACCAGAACCCGGTGTAAGTCAGCTTCGCACGCCGGCAATTGACAGACCAATTGCATCGAAAAGACTATGTAGAGGAGATTCACAATGCCAACATAAATGCAGATGAAAAAAGGGGGGTTAGAATATGGATTGGATGTCAAGCCTCATACGAGGAACAAATTCGCAGAGTCAGGAACAGAGGAGGAGGCATGGGGTGATCACGCGGGAGGCCATCGCGGGCGCGGGCCCTTGCAATGGACCGTCGCAATGGCACGACACTGGCCGTCGGTCGTTACAGCGCTCTTGGCGGGGCCCGAAGCAGTCTGGGCTGCAGGGATGCAACGCCTGAGGAAACGGGAAGATGGAAGCGGCAGTGGGGACGATGGAACGCTAGGCCATACCGTTGACTCTGGAATCGAGGCCCGCTGAGGGGTCGATCTGCCTCCCGGCCCTGTGCCTGCGCCTGCGCCTGCGCCTGCGCCTGGCGTCCCGCGGATGGACCGCTGGATGAAATCATGAAGAATGTCGCGCCGCGAGTGTCGCCTCGCTTTCTTCTGCTCGCGGCTGCCTTCGCTGTTGCTATTGCTGCTGCTGACCCCGTCCGATGTTGTTGGGATCGACACAGCGCTCTGGTGCGAGCTCACCTCGCCCGAAGTTGCATCTGAGAGGTTGCCATTGACTTCCTTCCTGGAAGACCGCTTGAGCAAGGAGAATGAAGGCATCGTTCTTGTCTTGCCGCCAATGCGCCGAGACAGCCAGCTGCACTGCGATAGATCGTCGGGGGCGAGGAGGGCCGGCCAGTTGGGCAGCACCGAAAAGGCACTTGGGCTCGGTTTAATCAATACTCGAGGGCTGTCAGCTGCCGTCTGCCGTATGCGGTTTGCCGCCTACTTCGCGTACAGACATGAAGCTGCCGGCGTTGAGGCAAACCGGTAAAGATCATCAACACGACGGCGCAGGATTGAAAAGGTTTGGGCCAAAGCAAGATAAAAAAAGTAAAATAAAGGGAAACAAAAGTTTCTAGAACTCAAAAAGAGGCAAGGACAGAGGTATCGAAGGGACAGGGGATTATCGGCTGTCTCAGATTGTATATCTTAAGAGACGGGTTATTAGATCCAGGCTTGCTAGGTAATGTATGTAGGCTTGCTCTGGTATGAGGCAAGCTGGGGGATGGGAAACCACCAGCCATTAAAGCTACTGCCACCCATGCCATGCAGGTGCAAGTTCCTTAAGAAAACCTGTTATCAGGCCATGTTCTGTATCGCGATGTACCCTGGCGGCAGCCGGCCCATGTGGGCTCCAACATGAACGTGGCGGCCGGCTATGGCTGTTCGAGATCTAGTCAAACAGAGCTGACAAGGCGGCTTGATGGAGTGGGTTCAATGCCGGAGCAAGCTGATGCTTGGCGTTTCGAAGGACAAGGGCTGTGCTGCTGCAGGTTGAGTGCGCTAACCAGATGTTTGATACTGCCCATGCAGGTTTTGCGACGGCCAGCAAGGTCTGACGCAATCTATCACGACTGCTTCCTCTTCGTACTGGCTGGAGCTTTCCGGAAGGATACCTGCTTCTATCTTTGTTTTCCATCATGCTCCGTCCATGGCGTCGATCATGATTCACATCAACTGGGTCCGCACAGACCCAGTGCGGATCTTTTTGGTCTACCTGTCCCATCTCTGTCGTCAAGAATGACTGCGAATTACGAAGTGATGCATTGTCGGTACGGACAGAGCAGCTCGCTTGCCCAGCTTCTCACGACGATGCAATCACCGACTGTGTGCATCAAATGCTCGCATCCTATCGTCTATCGTGGGTGGGTATATTTGTCTGTGCCATTATGTGTGAAGCACGGGATAAACAGCGTTGCGACAACCGCTCATTTCGTTTATCGCAGGCTGAATAACTCTACCCATTTTGGAATGCTGGGCAAGTGGCATGAACATCCCGTACAGCTTTATGCTCTTCTTAGATAAGGTGCGGTCTGCGCACCATTCCCCAACCTCCTCCTTCTGCCTCCTCAGTAGACTGGAAGCGCCCCGTCCATTGTCAAATTTGGGTCTTATCGAGCGACAAAACATGGCGTCTCCAGGAGCGGTGATTGCGGTATGGCGTTAGGGTCTTGGGTAGGCGAATGCAGTCAAATCTATGCGATGCAGGCTCCTATGATAGAGCAGAACCCTACGACCTTCGCAGCCGTACATTGGCAGAGACCGCCCCATTGCCATAGGGACATGTTTCTTTCAAACTAGTGAACTGCATAGCAGCGAGATCGTCTCAGCCAGCCGTGCCTTGCGCAGTTGATTTTGGCATGGAAACCGGAGGGGACTCGGGGCATGTCGCCATCGTATCTTTGTTGTGCTACCCTTTCCCTAAGCTGGCGGTGTCTCGTGGATCACGATGAGTAGGTATTTTGTATCGGGAACGATGACCAGCTCCTGTTTGCGGGTTCGTAGACGCAGCAGCTTGAGCTCATCCTAGTTCCGGTCAGACCAGTCAGGGAAAAGCCAGAAAGCGAGGCCGCTTACCTCTGAATCGATCTCATCGACCAATGTGCCCGCCGTTTTGACAAAGGCCCAGACCAGCGCTGCCAGCTCCTCTGCCCCTTGCTGCTCGCTGGGCTGCGATGTATTGGCTTCAGTGGAAAAGGCCACTTGCGATTGGGCTTGCGAGCTCGCGCCGTTTGTTTTCGTGGATCGAATCCAGGATATCTGGCCGCTAGTCTTGAGTATGGCTCCCGATGTCCTGTCGAGCACGATGGTGGCTTGCACCCCGGCCTTTTTGGACAGTCTGCCCAAGGTCTCCTCGAGCGCGTCTGCACTACCTGACTGGAATACAGCTCATCAGTATGCAAGGCCTGAAAAGGATATCAAACATGGAGTGAGTTCATGGCTTACCGGAAGAGGTTCTGCCATGCTTGATATTTTTGCAGTAGTTGTGCTCAACGCGCGAAACTTGGCCCCGATCACATCAAAGCTCCTGAAGCTCCAATGTTCCTGGGTTTATGGGGAATGGAGTCTAGCTCCACCAACTCCTATGTGTGGGTGGTGTGCTGTGGATATGATTCTGCCGGCCCTCACCGCTAAAATTTCATCCAGAACCATCAACGCCTAGCCTTGAAGGAGAATAACAATCAGGGTTGAAATTGGCATTCTTGTGCTGCTCTCATGCTGGGACTCATATTGGACACATCTCATAGAGTTCCAAGATGGGCTCAAGTAATAGAAAAAAGAAGGAGAAGCAAAAGGACTTCCAGGTAAGTCACCATATCGGGGCGATGCAAACGCTGTCAGCACACACTCCTAACGAACGACGCCACAGAAAACCAAACTGAAAGTTGGGAAAACAAAGCCAAAGGCTTCGAACTTTACAGACACAAGTTTCAAATCAAAGGGTATGTACGCAGGTCGCAGGATTTGGGCAGTTTGTTGACTTTGCATGTAGCTATCGTCGTTGCGCAGCAGTCTCTTTCGGAAGATGCGCCAGATCCTGTGGAGCAGTTCAAACACAACCTGTCGTTGGCTGCAACATCCCGTTCAGATAGCCAGCGGAAGGATGCTTTGGCCTTCCTGACCGGGCAGCTGTCCGTTAACCCGCCCAACAACCCGGTAGGCACACCAGTCGTACTGAGCAAGCTGCTTCCTCTTGTGTCCGATGCTTCTGCTCCCGTGAGGACGCAGCTCCTGAAGCTTTTTCGGGCGTTGCCTGCGCCAGAGGTCAGACCGGTGGCTGAAAAGATTCTACTCTTTATCCGTGCTGGCGTTACACACCTGTCTGCCGAGATAAGAGATGATACACTCAGCGTTATGGAGTGGCTTCTGGACGTCGCGGGAGATGAAGTCGTCTCCTGTCCCGGAGGCTGGATGAAGACACTCAACAGCTTCGCCGCTATGATGGGATGGAGCACACTCGTGCCCAGCACCTCTAGTAAGACTTCCAAGGGCTGGACATCGGCCCCGAAGTCCACCTTTGGTGCCTTGAAAGGTGGTCAGTCGTATGCGAGGCAAATATCGGTCTTGGCCAAGTTCCTGGACATCGGGTTCCATCCCGAGAAGCGCTCAGCTCATAACCCGCAGATGTACTGGGATAATCTAAACCGCGTGTCTCGCGCCACGAATCCTTTCGCGTATCTCAATATCTTTGGGGCACCACGGGACGAGGATGGAGAGATGTATGCCGACAGAGAGGACAGGCAGCGCGCCTTCAATCGAAAATGGCGATCTCTGATGACCAAGGCTGTCGACGAGGCGAAGAAAGAGGGCGGTGCCGTGGGCCGAGCCGCTGCTACCCTTGATCAGGTTTTGAAGGAGGGCATGGGCGACTACGACGAGACCGTGTCTGGTTGAGGCGACCGAGTGGCGAGGGCGGCCAATGATGACTTGATGAAAGGCTAAAGGCGTTTTTGTTCTTAGATTCGGAAGTTCACACTTGATACCAGACTTGCAGTAATGCCAATCCATTACCCCTGAATCCGGTTTTCAGAGTTCCGACCTTCCATTGTCTTGGCACACAAAGCCCGCCTGGACGGCTGTTGTGGGATCAATGCCTTTGGTGCAGTCCTCTGCCTGTGATTGTTTCCCTGGGAGGTTGGAGGGTTCCTGGCAGCGAGGAGTTCCGGTCTATTTGAGGCTTGGAAACAGCATCACCGACCTGCTTTGATCGGAGCTGTGTTTCCATGGCCTGCCTCAACCCCCCAACGACATCCCTCTTGCTGGCCACTGCGGCGGCGACATCCACTAGTGTGTGGCCGCACTAGAAAGACCTTGGTCCCACGCCCTTGGCCCTTTTTGGCCCCATGCCCCCCAGGCCCTCTGTCTCACGATCTGTGACGCAAGGCTCCAGCTAGCCGCACACCACATCACAACATCACCACACGCCCTAGGGATCCCTCGATTCCAAATTCAATCACTCCAGGCAACAACGATCATCATTTCATCTTTATTCTGCCAGACAATTAGGGTTTAGGCCCCCGCACAGACTGCAAGGAGTGATCCTGGGCTGCGCTTTCCACTTTCCTCGCCTATAAAAGGGTCCTTCCCCCTCTTCTCTTCTCTTTTCCCTTCCCCCTCTTTTTTTCCTCCCTCATCATCTCCCTCGTCAACCCGAGTCTCATCCGCAAGGGCGATCCCTCCTCCTTCTCGGACGACTTCGAGTTGCCTCACCGATACCCTCAATCATCGCCTTCCCCCACGGTCATCACGATCATCAACAACGCGAACCTTTTGCAGTAAGTGTTTACCTTTCCCTGCTTCACACCTCCCTCCTTCGCTGCTTCCCCAAATATTTTCACATTTGCCATTCAAACATCGCCAACACATTCCCAAACCCCAAGAACACGAGATACACGCGTCCTCCTTTTGCCTGCCCTGCAAGCATCCCACTTCACAAACATCTTGAGCAAACTCTCCTCTTCGTCTCTTGTCCCTCCCTGGTTTGATCGCCGCTTGTCACCGCAAGCCTCACACTTCTTATTCATCTCTGGGTACGACGCGTGTTCTCCCCTCTCCTTCCTCAATCCCGTCTTCTGGATCGACCAAACATCAGATCATCATCGTCATCCCCCTCATCGAGATTGCCTCTCCGTGCCCGAGCAAGCATCAAACCATCTCATCATTGAACCTGGACACTTCTCTACCCCCAGGTCCTTCTCTCTTCTTCACACAGCATCTTTACTTCGTCCCTTTGACCATCGATTCATCCTCTGTCGGGCCTCGTTTATCAGGTGTCCTCCACTCACTCTTTCTCACCCCTTCCATTCTCTGAGCCGCGTGCGCTCTTCACTCATCTAGGCGTCTAACACTTCTCATATTTAGCTCACCGGATCTTCTGTGACTGCAATCATGTCGGCCTGGAACACCAGCCAGGGCTGGGGTGCGGGTGACGCGACCGCAACCCCTGTCGGTGCTACTCCGTCCGTTAAGGAGGAGAACTCTGCCGATACTACTGCACCGGTTCTCGAGCAGAAGGTTGCGGCTGATCCGAACGCAACCCCAGCCGATGGTGCCCAGGGTGGTGATGAGAAGGCTACTGGCTAGGGTCCAGCAGTCCCTTATGACTACACTCAGTACACCACTACTGAGGCCCAGGGCAAGGAGAATTGGGAGGGCAATGCGGCTGTGTATGAGTGGGATGGTGAAGAGGGCGACATTGGCCCTGAGTTCCCGGATCTGGAGCTCCAGCTGTTTGGCAAGCCCGAGAATCGCGAGTCGGGTGGCATTGATTTCTCGAAGTATGCTCACACCTGTTCCTTTCTTCCTCGCCTCATCCTCAATCTAACATGGCCAGAATCGCCTCTATCGAGATGACTCAGGAGGGCCCAGTCCGGGTCAAGCCTGTCATCAATTTTGACGACGCCGGCCTGCACCCTGCTATGCGTCGCAATGTCGAGTTGGCTGGATTTGTCAACCCGACCCCCATACAGATGTATTGTCTGCCTGCCATCAACGATGGCCACGATGTCATTGGCATCGCCCAGACTGGTACGGCATATCTCAACGCATTTATTTGTGCTTCTTTTGACTGACACTGCCTTAGGATCGGGCAAGACGGCCGCCTACATGGTGCCTATCCTCAACAAGTTGATGGGCAAGGCCAAGAAGTTGGCTGCAAAGCGCCCCAACCCGGCAACATTCCGCCCTGGCATTGACCTCGCTGTTAGGGCTGAGCCTCTTGTGGTCATCGTTTGCCCAACTCGCGAGTTGGCCATTCAAATCTTCAACGAGGCCCGGAAGTTCTGCTACCGCACCATGCTGCGTCCTTGCGTCGTCTACGGCGGTGGTCCGATGCGTGACCAGATTGCGTCTCTGGCCAAAGGCTGCGATGTTCTGATTGCCAGCCCCGGTCGCCTTGTCGACTTCATTGCGCGCCCGGAGGTGCTCACTCTCCGACGTGTTCGGTACATGGTCATTGACGAAGCCGATGAGATGCTCCACGAAGACTGGGAGGAGGAGTTCAACAAGATCCTCTCTGGCGGTGGTTAGCCCCCCCTGCAACTCTCTTACTCGATTATGCTTTTGCTAACCCACGCAACAGAGCAAGAGGAGGGCAATGTCAAGTATCTTCTCTTCTCTGCTACCTTCCCCAAGAAGGTCCGCGATCTTGCCAAGACTCATCTAGCCGAGACCCACGTGCGCTTCCGCGTTGGACGTGCCGGCAGCACCCATGGAAACATTCGCCAGAGCGTTGTGTTCGTCGAACCTCATCAGAAGCGCAAGGCTTTGACCGACTTGATTTCCTCGATGCCACCTGCACGTACCATCATCTTCGTCAACAACAAGCGTGCCGCGGACGAGCTTGACGATTTTCTGTTCAACCAGGGCTATCCATGCACCTCGATGCACGCCGACCGCACTCAGCGCGAGCGTGAGGATGCCATGCGAGCTTTCCGTCGTGGTGATGCGCCCATCCTGATCACCACGGGTGTTGCTGCCCGTGGCATCGATGTTCGCAACGTCATGCACGTTGTCAACTTCGATCTGCCGTCCGTTGACATGGGCGGTATCGAGGAGTATACGCACCGTATCGGTAAGCACCCCAATGGGCCTTGAAGCCATCTTTTTCGCTAACCACAATTACAGGACGCACTGGACGAATTGGTCACCGCGGTTTGGCCACCTCTTTCTACTGTGACCGCGATGAGGGTCTCGGCAGTGTTCTCACTCGCACATTGCTCGAGACCGACCAGGAGATCCCTGATTTCTTGCAGCAGTTTGTTCCGGAGGGTGACGCGCGCGTCAACCTCAAGTTCGAGGCAGACTCGGACTGGGAGGAGAATGATGGCGCTGGTGATGGTTGGGGCGCGACTGGTGATGCTGACGGCTGGGGTGCTCCTGCTGCCGGTGATGGTGATGCCGCCCCTGTCGAGTCGTTTGGTGGTTGGTAAAGGTCACATTCAGACCGTTGCCTTGACTTGCGATGGATTCATTTTCGCATATGGAGGTCACATGGGATTAGGATCTGGACCTGATTGATCTGTGGGATACGGGCGCTAGTGATGCCAGACGGGAATTGCATCATGGAGTCATCGATCAGATCTTCGGAGGATTCATCATAGGCTCGTACTAAGTAGTTAGTCATTTGACAGACGAAATCGAAAAAAAACGAGTATGCACTGCACTGGTGGTTTGATTTTCATGACGGTGGATGGTGCGATGCGACTTGGCAGCCAAGATGGAAGAGTTCATGTGCTGCTGGCCAAGACACATTAGTAGATGTAGGAAAATCATCGAGAGGAGCAACTGTGCAATCTTGGGATTCCCAGCATAGACTGTGGATGACAGGACCCTGTTAGAGGACACAGGACCAGACTCTAGACGTCAATGATATTAATGAATTCCGACCTGCGCTCAAAAGACTCGATGGTCTTCTCGAACCCTCACGCTCATTTTCTTTCTGCTCCCAGCAACAACCTAGCTGTTCAACACCATCAAGCTACCAAGGACGCTTGGTGATCCTGCTGCAGGAGGTGCAGTGCGCTTGGGAGAGGGACATCCGCATGTACATTTAAGATATATTTACGAAGTAAATGAGTATAAATGAAACAGAATACGAACAACCTTTTCCGTCTCAAAACGTCATGGTAGATCAATCAGGAGTGCGAGGAGACTTGTGGGGGCCAGGGGGGTTTCTGCCACTCAGGTTCAAAGCGGTGAGTGACAGTTTGTGCCGAGCCTCTCAATTACAGCTAACTACAGCAAGTGAGGGTCAGATTAGTTGACGGACTGCTAACAGAAGTACTTATCTATCCATCAAGCCCATGGGATTTAGGTAGTGGGATAGCCCGTCCGAGCTCGCCGAGTTCCAGGGCAAGGATATGACAAGGATATTGATTGTTAAGATCGAGGTAGCTCCTGATGAACTTCAGCCAACTATTCAGACGCCCACTTGCTACAGGCACCTACTAGGTAATCAATCAGAAAAGAGTAGCAGCGAGGCGTCCGCCCGAGGCCCCCGCTGAGAGCCCCTCGGCTTCGCAGGCATGGCAGGCGGCTTACTTGCGCCTGCCCCGCCCGCTAGGCCCAGTGTCTCGATCAGATGTTCTTGCCCTCTTGGTCCCGGTAAACTCGAGAGTCATCAATGTCTTTTCCCACTCGTTCAATCCCCAGATCATACCAAATCATGCGATTCCAATACAGCCTGAGCAATCTACTTGTACAAGTCTAGCTGAGCATCTTTCAGTGCGCACCATCAAAGGTAAGACGGCCATCATCCATTTCCCCAACAGCTGGAGCTTCTGCGTCAGTGACGAGCAGCACTCTGCCCTCCCTCCATCCCCGCGGGCGGACCTTGTTCCCCAACTCCGGCGGGAGCCGGGGACCGAGGCTTCCAATGGTGTCCACCACCACCCCGATACTCCGGGGAACGGGAACCTTGCACATCAAGGCATCGCGGAGCTTACAAAAATGAATCCGGGACAGCTTCTTTCAGAGTGGATGTCGGGGTTTACCCATCCTGTACTCTAAGAGAACTTTGCACCTATTATTATTTGCCTGACAGGACTGGAGCATCTTTTACTGACAATATGGCGCCTCGTAGCCCAACGGATCGACCGGCGCATCTCACTCTGAGCGATAGCTCCTCATCTCTATCGCTTTCCTTCAACCTCTCAACATCCCGGCCACTGTCACCGGTGTCTTCTATCTTCTCTGTCGCTTCTGATTCACAGGACAGCATGGTGACTGACCAGCAATCTGACGTCCCTCCCATGGACCCCGTTACCGCCGCTGAGGACCAGTACTTCAGCGCTAACGATCCTCCCAAGGGCTTGGACCGTCACATCTCACTGGCAAGGTCCTTCATCGACTTCCATGCGGCTGCCAGTCGTCGAGTCGTGTTGATCACCTCTGGCGGTACCACGGTCCCGCTGGAGAAGCAGACCGTGCGGTTCATTGACAACTTCAGCGCCGGTACCCGTGGAGCCACGTCGGCCGAGTACTTCTTGGAGGCCGGCTATGCCGTCATTTTCCTCCATCGCCAATTCAGTCTCCAGCCATACAGTCGGCACTACAGCCATGCTACTGACTGCTTCCTTGACTTCCTCCACGAAGGGTCAGATGGGAACGTTGTTGCCAACCCAGAGTACCAGGATAAGATGCTTGGTGTGCTGCGCAAGTATAATGCCGCTAAGAAGGGCAACATGCTGCTCATGCTGCCCTTCGTCACCATCACCGACTATCTGTGGGAACTGCGGGGGATCGCTCAGCTCCTGCGCCCCTTGGGCCCCAATGCGCTTCTGTACCTAGCCGCTGCCGTCTCCGACTTCTTTGTGCCTCCGGAGCGCATGGCCGAGCACAAGATCCAGTCCACTGACGCTGCTGACAGCGTCATGGATGCCGGGGCGAGTGCTGCAAAGGTTGGAGCCGCGCCGGCAGAGCAAGACGAGGCCGAAGACGAGGAGACCTTCGATAACTTTGATTCATCGCCTGCCGTGCCGCGGTCCAAGCGCCTCATTGTCGATCTCGACCCCGTCCCCAAGTTTCTTAAGAACTTGGTAGACGGGTGGGCACCCGAGGGCATGATTGTGTCCTTCAAGCTCGAGACTGATCCGACCATCCTGGTGCACAAGGCCAAGTACTCGCTCGAGCGCTACCAGCACCATCTTGTGATTGGCAACCTCCTCTCCACGCGCAAGTGGGAGGTCGTCTTTGTCGCCCCGGGTAGTCCGGACCGGTGGATCCGCGTGCCCATGGGCCGGCGCAAGGGGACCATCAGCGGCCTGGAACAGCTGGTCGGCGCGGCGGATAAGAACTGGACGGCCGAGGATCAGCCCATGGACCCGGCCCAGCTGCCCGAGGGGGACCCGGAGATGGAGATCGAGAGCCTCATCATCCCGGCGGTCGAGGAGTTGCATTCGAAGCATGTTCAAGGTTCGGCAAAGGCATCGGCCTAGTTTTAGGATATTTTATACAAACCATCGTTAGGCGTTGGGCAGGCAGTGTTTCATTTGTATACAAACAACTTGTGTATATCAAGAGAGCGTCAGACAGTAGACACGAGCGAGGGACCATTGTTTCTTGTATTTTCCCCTCAGCATCAGGATACTTGATGAAAATGAAAACATAGAATCTTAAGCGGCCAATGATGCCTTTTTGGAGATTTATCGGTATAGGGGTGATCAGCTTGAGATCCGATCGAGTTATCAGGTCCTCCTTCTTTACCAAAACGGGTATCAAACGAAGCTGTATATCTGTGCTCATGTAGTTCCCAACTGCCCTAGGGGGTATGCATCTGGTATATTGTCCCTCCGCGTTTGGATACTGGGCACACTCTGGTACGACCTGGACTCGACAGTGCGATTCGTAAACGGCGGAACCCGTCTTGCGGGGGACATCTGTTCGATGAGGTGCGCAATCTGCAGCAGTCGAGCCTCGGACCAGGGCGGGCCGAGCAGCTCCATGCCCACGGGCACACCGGCAGGGGCATCCTCTGTGGGCGGAGAGAACCCCGCCGGGACGAGTACCGAGGGGCTGCCCGTCAGCGCGGCCATGAGGCCGTTCCGGCCGCTCTGCGAGGGCGAGCCGACCCTGACGACGAGGTTGCGCTGCTGCGGGTAGATGAGCGCGTCCAGGCCGTGGGTGTCGAGCGTGGCGTGCAGGGCGTCGGTCAGGTGCCGGATCTCCTGCCTGAGCTCCGAGTAGGCCTCGTCCGAGGTGGAGCGGGCGGCGGCGTTGGAGATGTGGGCGTATTGGGAGGGGATCACGAGGAACTGCCGCGAGGACGTGTCCGTGTCCGTGTCTGTGTCTGTGTTTGTGTCTGGGAAGGGGTAGTAGAGTTCTTCGAAGGAGGAGGGTGCTCGCCGCCCGCTGGCGGCGAGGTTGTTGTTGTTGTTGTTGTTGTTGTTGTTGGCGTTGGAGAGGTACTTGTCAAGCTGCTCGCGGTATTCGTACGTCTGGATGTCGAGCTTTGCGATGGCGGTCGGGTCGTAGATCTCGTCGGTGATGTGGACGACCGTGGCGCCTGCGGATCTGAGCAGCCGCACCATGTCGGCGATGACGTCGTTTACGGGCGTCGTCTCCTCCGAGGCGGTGTAGTTGAGAAAACCGGTGAGAAGACCCAGTCTGAGACTGCTCGCATCCCCACCTCTGAGCCCGGAGGTGTAGTCGGTCCCACGGACCTCCTCGGGCGCAAGCGCCGTCATGTCGTCTTCCGCATCGAACCCGACACTCGCCATGGCGTTGAGCGCGACCGCGAGATCCGACACCGTCCGCGCCATGGCGCCCAGCGCGTCCTGCGTGCGGCTGACGGGCACGGTGCCCGCCCTGGAGACGAGGCCCCTCGTGGGCCGGAAGCTGAAGACGGCGTTGGCGCTCGCGGGGCTGCGCATGCTGTTGACGGTGTCGCCGCCCGTGGCGAGCACGGCGAAGCTCGCGGCCAGCGCCGCGGCGCTGCCGCCGCTGCTGCCGCCGGGCGTGCGGGCCAGGTCGTACGGGTTCAGGGTCTGCCCGCCGAGCGAGGACGCGGTCAGCCCCTCGAGCGCGAGCTCGTGCATGTTGGCCTTGCCGAGGACGACGGCGCCCGCTCCACCTCGGACGAGGCCTACTCGGAGCTCAGGCAGGAGATCCGGCACC